CCCCTAAATTGCATAACAACCAAAACTAACAAAGACAAGGCTACACCTACCTTAAAAGCCAATTTTAGATCAGAAAACTCTTGGAACTATGTAGACTCTAAGTTCTACTTCAATGTTTTACACCAAAAATGATCACAGAAAGTTAAAAGTATAATGTGTTCTAGTAAATCATACAAAGTTTCTTCTCCTCCATACTGACCAGTAACAATGACCCACATTAAGATATCAAACCTGAAATAAATCTGGTTTCATACAGGTAATTTTATTAATTGCTTTAATATGCAATTAAGGAGTAGTGAGTGGGCTGCAGGATTTTATAAGGTAATAACGCTGTTCCCTGGTGTAGGGCTTTGTCCCAAAGAGTAGGCTATCCATCAAAAAAAGAGCTGGATGGCTGCCAAATCAAACAGCACCTTCTTCCCATTTTCAATTATGTACCAGTGAGGCAGAGTAACGAGGATATACTGGAAACTTTGACATTTATTTATTGAACATTTTTCCTGAGAAGGAATTGCTGGCTCGCGAAACCGGAAACTATATTTTTACTACAGAAACAATCGCATGGAAAACCACGATCCTGCTGCTCAGCATGAAAGGAATGGCTAGAGCCAATCAATTGACCCATCAAAGCCAGCAATGTTAAGGTGATTTCATTCTCTGCAGCATGTATGTCAAAAATCCAAATCCCTATAATACAGTATATATTTCAAAAAGCCCTATGGCATTCTGCTTTACAGAGCAGTGTCTTCTGTGACCCAGCCAGGCTGTGTTACACTCACCAGCACAGCAATCGAGATGCAACAAAACCACTTAAAAGGTGTAACATTTGTAGAGGCAAATAAAGATAACCCAAAGTGCAAGAAGAAATCCAGACTTTCTCCCCTTTCCACTGATTCTAAAGACTAAACCGAATGTTGGAATGGAGATGAACTCACCACACTGAACGTTCTTTTTGGTTTTTGGATAGAGCAATTGTTTTAATCCAGTTTTACCACAGAGGAGAAAAATGCGGGGAGAGTAAATGAAGAGGAAAATAGGGAAGTCAACATTCTTTGAAGCAACAACATATGGTGACCAGGCATGAGAGATGGAGGTTATAAATCTTTCCTTGATAGAAATACCTAAAGATGAAATTGCAGCTTCAAGGGGCTTGAGCCTTTAAACCCACACTAGAATCCTGAAAATTAACCTGTGTGTACCAAAGCCAGGTTTTTGGTACCTTTTTGCCATAACCTTCATTTCCAATGCTGCTTTGAGAATTTTGGTACTAATACAGATGTGGCCAGTAGAAAGCATGAAAACCTTTGCTCCATGAATCACTCAAAATATGATTAACAAGATATGAAAATTAAGAATTAGAACTAAATGCTGCATCCTGCGAACAGTCATTGCTGTAGTACAGAAAGAGAAAAAAGATTGGAGGTACACTGATGCTTGTTTCTTTGTGAGTTGAAACTTATTGATACCAAAGAATGGAGGAAAAGCTCTTTACTGGTTCCAACCACTATGACCAACTGCCCAAGAAAGTGAAGGCTGAGAATCCTGTTGTCTCACAAACACTTTTGATGAGGTTCATCATACAATGATATGTAGGTAAGCAAGCCAAATCCTGGTGATGGAATGCCACAGGACTAAGCATCAGGATAATACAGCAGTATGAGAGTAACAGCAATCCCCACAGCCACATACTTTACCCATAAGGAAATATGATCCAATTGTAATGCATTTCTTAATTGTTAAGCTAAATAAAGCCTAACTCTAATTATTATATAAGGTTACCATAGTGTTGCGTCTTCCCTAGATGACCCATAGAGCTGGGTCTTCCTCTATTGAAAGCAATGTCCTGGTAGATTTTGAGGACCTTGTCATGTGCCCAAATTTCTGAGTGAAGAGCAGACTGGAACACTGGCTCTGACTTGGTTGCCCCATGCCCCAAACCCCTACTCTGACAGAATGCACAAGCAGGTCAACTCTACCATGTAATTCATGCTACCTCCCCAAGGCATCACATTTAGCATGCGAACCAGCTCACCCTGAAGCATCACTCACTGTGCACATCATTACTACATAGCACACATGCACCTACTTCCATACAAGATTCCCTTGCAGTTGAGTTCCCTGCTGTTGCTTTTCACAAGTGGGTTTCACGTGTCTGTTCAGCAACCAGTCCCTTTGTCCTTCCAGCAGAGCACGTTAAAGCTGAACTAAGATTATCAAAAGTGATTTGGAGGGATCCTGGCTTTGGGTGCTATTTCCAAGTTGTCTTAAAGATACTTGAGTTTTAGAAAATGAAGATCAGCCAACCCATGAAAACCAGACAGCTTTGAAGCATTTTGATTTTAACATTGAGCAGAAATGACCAAAGATCATTCTCAGAAATGTGACCAATCACTGGGACAAATACGGTAAAAATTCCCCTTCAAACAACCAAAGACATAAGGTAAGAGGTTATTGGTTAAAAAAAACCCACAATTTTCTCCTTTACTATTAGACTGAGCAAACAAAGAGCTTTGGACAGCACAATAATTAAGCACAAACCGTCTATTAGAGGATAGGTAATAACCTCTATTATTTCCAAAGACTACAATAATGCTGAATGCTTGCAGCAGCACCTCGAAGAGAGGTTTGGTTTGGAGGATATGTTAGCAGAAAAATAAATGGAAGAGAAGGCCATTGAACTGCAGTGCTACATATGCATTTATGCCTCCCCACCCCCAAAAGCCATGCATTCACTTTCTTGTTTCTTGATTCCATGTAGCTGAATTCTTTATTTTTACATAATCTAACCTATTTTCTGCATGATACAACTGATATTGCCATAGGGGGAACCTCTCTAACGACAATTGTCTGAACACACACTAAGCTAAAACCCTTTAGTGGGTGGTTTCTTCACACTGCCAGATGTGTTGCGGCATCCTGAATAGGATTCAGGGCCTCACCTGGCTCCCAGTGATCACCACAGGCAGTACGATGGAAAGAAACATGCTACAAATGCCCAGTGGGATGTATAATAGCAGTAGTTTCCAGACTACTTCCCCCTGTTCTGTTTCAGAGACATCCCAGGGAAGCCCACGGGCTTGACCTGTAACTCAGCGAAACAATAGGAAACTCTCCTGCTGACTAGCAAAACCTTTGGAACCAGACCTTACACAAATAGCTGCTGAAGCACTGAAAAAGGCAGAGACTGCATTTGGAAAACCAGACTCCTTATGGAGTGCTGAGGGACTGGATTGCGATTTGTACTTTTTATTCATGTACTGGTATTAACTTACTTGATTCAATCAGGAATGAGAAGGGAGTATAAAAAGTCATGCAGTCCAGCTCCCTATAGTCACAAGTAAGCCCTTAGGGGAAGTTTACTCCAGGAAGACCTTCCTAACCTGTACTTACGACAACCCAAACCCATTCTGATAACCAAAGAGGCAGCGACATCCTGACATATCTTAACAGTAAAAGGGCAAACACTTTTCAAATTAAAAAGTCTGTGAGGAGGCTGGTTCAAAGGATCCAGTGTCACTGAACAAGATTTCTGTTTGAGTGTGCTAGGGAGACTGACATATATTTGTATGTATGTATGTATAAAATATACATATCTGTTCTGACACTGGATATGCTTCTGAAACACTGCTATAGGGAAGGGCAGAGTTAAAAACTGAAGGTAATGAACACACCAGAATTCTATAAAAACACATCACAGCAAATGTCACAGCATTAGATTTTTCTAATGGCTGTGAAGGCAGACAATAAAATCAGGTTTGAGATGTTCAGTTATTGCATAGTAGTGGAAAACATTTTAAACTTGGAATGAAGTAACTCTGTATTTGAAGGCAGAAGATGAACAGAGAGTAAGAATTAAATATGAAGTCCTGTCATCAAAAGTTGCTACTGAAATTCCAGTTATCAAAACAAGTTCTGCTTGCAAGCAGGAAAATTATTAAATACAGCTATACATATATTGCATTATATATTTGTTGCAATGGGATTAATTTTTATGGCAAAATTACCATGAAAGGAAACTGTTCTTCCTGCTAACCTAAGCAGCACTGTAGAATATTCACATTTGGAAATTTCCCATTTGGAACAATGTCAAACAAGGCCCAGTCCCTCAGCTTCTGTTGAGCTGTTCATTGACTCCAGTGGAACTGCACCGAGTGAACAAGGTTGAGAAGCTGCTCTCCCTATTCAGAAAATACATTCAGATAAGTTTTTTGTGCACAATTTCACCTACAAGTATCTGTGTTATAGAGAAAATTGTATCCAGGGACCATCCTGACAAGTAACTGTGTCCAACTGAATGCTGTGTACTGTTTAGTGTCCCTGTGTAGCATGAGGAAAGGACATGTCTCATTCTAGTGCAATTACTAGATGGGAAAACAGATTGGATTTGGGGCATTCAGACCCTTCCTTGGGTTTGGCTATCCTATTGTTGTTTATATAAATGCAGCTAAGTCATGCTCTGGCTGATCCACTAAACATAAAAGCCTTACTGCTACTTTTGCAACTGTTAATGCACTGAAATAACATGAATAAACATGAAATTCCATTCTCATTATTAACTCTGCATTCACTATGGACAAGATGAAGCATAGGTGTGTCATTTTTTACTGCATAAATAGTGCTATGTTGTTTCTTAGGTTTAACATCCCTCAGCATGAAGAAAGCAAAGTAGGACAAATATAACCAAGTTGAAAGTGTGACCTTCTTGCAGGATCAGAGCCCTGCCAAATTTCCTTTTTGTCTGTAAATCTGCATGGCCTAACTTCATACACAGCAGCTTTTACCTGCATGTCCCCACAGTCAAAAGACAAATGAACCTTCAACACACCTATATAACATACAGAGTTAAAAAGAGGGTAGAGAGAAAGCGATGTTGGCTCCTGTCTAGCTGTGCAGAAGGTACAAACTTTTCCACTTGAATTAAAGTCTGTGAATGGTGCCAAATGTCAAAGTGAAAAACACACTAAAACTAGGGGAAAAAATAATAATCAGGTACTGCATACCTGTATAGATGCAAAATCCCCAGAAGCACAGGCTCCAAGAATAGCAGCACCCACCAAAACAGACTCCACTTCTTTGGACAGGACAACAGGCTTGCCTGTACAAGAAAAAAACAGGCCTCTGTTAGGAAGAATATAGCAGTAATATACTAACAGCACAGTAAGTAATTAAAGCAAAGACAAAGAAAAAAGGAATCAAAAGGACTTGAAAACCATGTTCGCATCCTCCATTTGGAGCTACAGCCCATATAGATTAATGTAAACCTCTGCTCTGGCGTTCCAGGCTCCAAGAAAAATGCAGACTTTAAAGAAAGCAATTTCAGCAACATACTTAGGCAGAACATGAAGCATACAAAGAACAATCCCCCAGATCTTTGACATTAGCTATTTATCTCAGAGGGCTTGGTATAAACCTGTTTACCCACACCCTCCAAACCCACGTGCCTATTAAAAATGGAGCTCGAGGGGAAAACAGGGCGGTATTCTGTTTGTTTCTTTTGCAAGGAACAAAAAAAACCAGATTGTTTCTGTTTGTTTTCTAAATATATAGCCAAGCAAGGCAGCCTGGTTTTGCTGGAAGCCATGAAAATACGACGAGTGAACTCTCACAAGCTGTGTATGAAATAAGAAGAGAAATCTTGTCTCCCAAATTGTGCTGGAAAACAAGATTAAAACACTGGGAAAACAAACAAACAAACTCACTATATATTCTGAAGTACCATTAAAAATTATTGTTTCATCGCCCAGGGGTACTATCATGAACATGCTTCCCTTTGGTTCACACAGTGCTTTCTAAGCCCTGTATTACTGGTGTAAAAACAGCAGGAAAAAGCCTAATCAAATAAAAATCATTTCTTAATGAACTTTCATAATTCTCCTTAGAAAGCTAAACCAATAGCAGAAGTCTAAATACTTTTCTAGCTGTACTTTAGATGCTTAGTCTCACTAAGCCAAAAAATGTAACATTCCTCCAGTGTTTGGCATGTGTCTGAATTTCCATCAGAGATAATTTCATGCAGTGAATGAGGATGTAAACACAGCGACGGGGGGAGTGAATAGCCTTAATGATATTATGGCCCTAAAAATGCTGCTCCTGAGAGCCAGCTCTAAGATCAGAAGGAGCTGAAATCTGGAGGAAGATCTAAAGTGGCCCACAAGCAACTTCTACAGAGGAAAAGGCACATCACACTTTTCAAAATGAGAAGTAAAATTATTAATACAAGAAACAAATATTGATAAAAAGCATATTCACTTTGCACCCCAAGCATTCAGGTACATGACGCTAACTTTGCAGTGTTCCACCAGTGTAAAGCTCTTTACAACCATCTTCCAGTGAGGAACATATAGGTGCCGCAAGGGTCTTCATGCCTTTTCTTCCTGCAGTTGGCACAGGCAAAGTGATGGGGAAAGAAAGTGGATATGGAGAGACCTTGTTGTTTGATTGCTGGAATGACTATTAACAGTGAACTAGTGGAATTACAGCACCCCTTCAATTTTTGTGACCGAACAAATCCACCTTAAAAACACGAGTGGAAGATCAGTCACCTGAGCATTCCTCCAGTTCAGACAGAGCACAGCTCAGGACCTGGGTCAGATTGGAAGAGAACAATCTTAAACTGAAGCTAAGAGCTCGGTGGCTGGCTGCCAGGCATTGAGGCAGTAAGCAATTTCCAGCGTGCTCTAAAATTTGCTGCACATTTCCTGCATCATCAGAATGAATACAGAATTCTTACGGGGCAAACAAAAAGATCAAGATACTTTTTAAGTGCCCTGCGAAATGATCTATTGGATGTCTGCATGGCTGAGTCATGGGCATTTGCTGCTAACAATAATATATTCAGTTTTTTTTCTTTGGGGGGAAGAATGGGGGATTGATCCTGGAATGTTAGTTATTTTATCTGATAGGCTCTAATGAGTTCAACATAACCAAGAGCATTTCAGTTAGATGAACTCTGACATCCCTTGTCAGTCACTGATTTTACAAATGGGGGAGAACTCCAGACTGCAAAAAGGCCTTTTTGTACTGAATCGTACTTGGCCATTAGTTACAGTCAAAGAACTTCTGATTACATTTTAATCAGAATACCTTTTCACAGATCTTTTATTTCACGCATCGTGAGCCAGCATCCCAACTCAACACGTAGCTGAAATTCACCTAAACCGGTTGAGTTCCGCAGGGAAAGGCACAGACTCGACAACACTGTTTCTCACAAACCCAAAGTGTCACTTTGCTCACAATGCATTTAGTGAATTTTAAGGTCAACAGGCATTATGCTTTTTGCTTCTCCATTTCTGTTTTCATCTCAGGTAAGTACATAAAGTGTATTTTCATCTTCCCTCCTGCATCAAGGTTATGAAGTGTGGTTTGATGTTAGGACAAGTCAGATCTCCAGCCCTAATGCTCCAAATCTCAGCCTTCAACTTTATTCATGACAGCTCAAGTGGTCTGAATTTGACATATACCCAAAGCACACATCATTCAAAGGTGCTTTGAAGTCCTTTACACTAAATTTTGTTATTTTTTCCACATTTTTAAAACTATATTCAACTGGCTCCCAGGTGTGCTGGGATGTCCAACACGCACAGGCTTAAGGGAGACCAAGCCTGAGACTTCTTGTGATGAACCACATACCCAGAGCTTCCACCCATCAGTTATCCTACAAATCCAAATGCAGCACCATGCAGGAGCAAGAATCCAGGAATTGTGGCTGAAACCCTATTAATAATACAGACATGGAAGCAATCTGGAAAAGAATTGTTCTACAGAATGGATACAATGCCCCGCAAGAGCAGGAACTGTCAGAGTTCCAAAGGAATTCAAATAGGATGAAGCTAAAGGAGGCTTTAATAAAACACAAGTTAGGCAAAACATGCTTACAAAATGTAATGGGCATTATTCTCATCTAAAATCCTGAAATATGACTGAATGGAATCATTTCTATAGAAAATTCAGATTATCTTTTATAAATCTGATTGCGAAAAACATTTCAGTGCATACTTCTTGGCCAACCAGCTAAATACACTTCTATAGAAAGAGAAGTCTTTATTTTTCCAAAGACAAAGTATTTAGCCACCTAAAATAGTTTACACTCCTCTCCCTCTAACTTACCAGTAATGTCAGCATGCATCTGCACAAAGAGAGGGTTCTTGCTCAGCCCACCACACAGGAACAGTGTGTTGATACGATGCCCTGCAGCCTGCATAGTTTCCAAAATATGTCTTGTTCCTAACTTCAAAAAGGGGGAAAAAAACACAAAAAAGAAACCAGATGAGCACAGGAGAGCAGCCACGGGAACAGATCTTACAGCTCAATTTGCTATAAAGAATGATACTATTAACTGCCCCTACCAGTAACCAGGGGACTGGGAACGGGACTCCAAGGCTATGGAATCTGTCTAGCTTCCAGCCAGGAACAGGCATTGAAATTAAGGAGAAAAATGAAACGGATGGCACAAAGAACTGGGAAATACATGGGCACAACACATTGCAGGAAACATCCCGGGGCTGGCTGAGGGAGTGGAGGCTTAGCAGTACACAGTAACACAGGGAAATGGGGCTTGCAGGGAAGTACTGACAAAGCTGAAGCCTTTGGGTTTATAAGGGATTACGAGAAGGGATGATGAGAAGACAGAGGAACAGGCACCAGGAAGAGCTGATGGCAGTGATAAGCAGCTGTTTTGACCAAGTACAGCTGAGTAGGGAAAACATTTCCAGATCCAAAACTAAAACCTGTCTGGCAAAGACATCCCCACCAAAACCTTCTATTTACTTGGGATAACAGTATCTGAAAATAACTTTTGGTAAAGAGATTCTGAGGCTGAGGCCAAATAAGAAAACAGAACAAAAAAAGGAGCAAATAGAACCTTGTATTTTCTGTCTTTTCAGCAAAAAAAGGAAAACCTGAGGAATTTTGTCTTGGCTTTACTATTTCTCTTGGCCTTTGCCCTATGCAAAATAAAATGTTCCATTTTATGTCTGGATTAATTGAAACATCTAAAATGCAGGCATATTTTTAAACTTCTCATTTACAGTCCCCATTCTGAGAAACCCAAATTAGAGCAGCTCCCTGTTCCGCTCTGTGAATGATGAAAGCAAATGCTTCACCATTTTAAACCAATCTTTCCTCTTTCTGTTTGCTTTCCTTGCCTCCAACTACTCACCCAAGTCAACCTTCTCCCCCTTTCCTCTTGCAAGAACATTTTCCATTTCTTTGACAAACTGTTTGCCCAAAACTGATTCCCAGCTCTTTATAATACCTTGGAAGTTAATTCTGAAGCTCAGACTTGACAACACGCCAAATTCCAGCCAAAACTTTGCCCAGGCTGACTCTTCATAGGGAGGTTCCCTACAAAACATGATCTGCTCAAAGTCTTCACCAACCGTCACCTAAGTTTTCTTTATGCTACGCTGCAGGTTCATTACAAGGTCTGCAGCCTGCAATAAACCCCTCTTCAAATAAAACTACTGGAAATTGAAGCGAGCAGAGTTCCATCAGACTGGAGACATTCACTATGAATGACTGGCACCATTCTGGAGAGGCCTTCGAATATGTTTTGGTTTCTCAGGCAAGCGGTTAGGAGGAACTTCAGCAGCCGCAACAGCAGCTGACTAAATCCATCACTTCCCTATGGACACAGCGGGCTAATTTCCAAATCACACAGCCACCATTTTAATTATGGAAAAATAAACTGCTCCAAAAAGAGCCCGTCTCCTCCGAATGGGCCTGACAGCCACAATTATACCTCGGATCGTGTTCTCATCCGTCTTAACTGTTGCATCGCGGTTGGCAATGAATGGTTAAAAGGATATTCTCTTCCCCTGCTTCTGGAATTCAAATTTATTAACAGCTTCTCTCCCAACACACACACGTCAGAGACCCTTAGAAAGAACACGCTGTGAAAATGATTTTGTGTTTACCTGCCTGGAAAATTGTATTCACATCGCAAGTTAAATTAAAGCCAGACTTATTTCACTGTGGGTGGGGGGGGAACTAATTTAATCCTGGATTGGAGAAAATGCAAATTGAGGGGCTTCAAATGCAAATGTTATATAAAAAGAAAAAAAGCTTCTCCTGCTGAAAAGAAAACCAGAGATTAACATTCTGTGGGCAGGCCCGAGCCTTTTACAGCACTTCTGCTTAGGTTTAAGTTTTATCTTGCACCCATTGAAGACATTTAATGGTACAGGACTGGGACTGTCCTGAACTAGAACTGTTTCCATCCACAAAAGCAAAGCTAAAATTGGGAGTGACGGAGTATAGGAGGAAAATGAAATTTCCCAGGTATCACATTAGCAATGAGCAAATATATTGAGTCAAACCTGAGCCTACTCTGTCTACTTCTTAGTTACTGTTTCAATTGTGCTTTAGGAAAAATGAACTTCCATTAACTTAAAGAAAACCTCTTCTATTAAATCTCACCATCAGCACAAGCAGCTGTCAAAAAGATGCTGAATATAGCGTTCAACAGAGTAGTTGTGTTTCACAATGAAATCGGAGTTGTATCATATAGTGAGATAATAGGTGACTTTCCCAGGATTTCCAGCAGGGAAGGTTTCCACTTCGTTAGCACGGTATAATAACGGAGGCACCTGTTCCACTCTGGAAAGCTTCTTTCAGGGGCAATATCAGTCCCTGGCATTGTTTAAACTCTCCTAGACATTCTTATTGAAATGGTGGGATTATACTGAAGCATCAGGTGTAACCAAGCCACATTCATCTTCAAAAGGATCCAAACTCACAACAATGAATTCCAGGCCGGGGTGAAGGTATTTGCTGAAGAGGGAGGGTTAACACATAAGATGTACAATCCACAGGGAATTTACAGCAGCCGCCCACCCTCTCTATCCCAGATGGCTGACCCAGCCTAGCAAAGTTGTTGTTTAACCAGTAGAGGAGTTTGGAAGTTTCCCAACTGAACAGTTTTGTCAAGAAAACTCCCCAATCCATCAAACTGTCAATGGTCTGCAGAAACACCTCAAGTTCTACAGACTTAGGGGGAAAAAAAAGAAAAAAATCACAAAAAGGATGTCAAAGAAATGTGGATTTCAGTCACCAAATCCCATTGAAAATACCCTGCGCCAGGTTTCAAAACAACTTCTTTGACCCAGGTTTTCACTTGCAAATAGAACTCCTTGTGAACTGGAAATCCTGGGTCGGAGAGAAAATTAGGGCAGAAACAAAAGTGTTCCAATAAAATTACCCATCTCTGCATGTTATCCAGGACGTTTCATACAGTCTCCTTGTCTCAATCCAGGATGCTTCATACAGTCTCCTTGCCTGCCTTTACAGAAACACACCACAGGCTGGAATCACTGCACGGGAGACGTGCCCACCTTGCAGCAGGGAAACCAGGGAGCAATGAGATTTGGTGTGTTCAGTCTGTAGCCTTATGAACTGAATCACAGCCCCACTCTGACTCGCTGTGGTACAGAGTTGTGACTCATCTAACAGGCGAGCAGGGGAAACCCATGGATTTGGGAACAATCTGAAGCTGAGGCATTTTAGGGGAGCACAAGTTCCTTCATACAATTGCCAAAGGTATTTCTTCCCCCACTCTCTTAGATTTCCTCTAGCAGCCCATGATGGTAACGCTGCCCCATGCAGTACCAGCCTCTTTCCTCACATCTGCAGTACAGGCAAAAGCTCCATTCGCAAAATTGCCATAAGAAAACTTTTTAGGAGACATTATCCTACAGTTGGTAGTAGTCATCAATGTGGGTAAATAACATCTTGCTCCTTTAAGAAGTCCATTAAGTGAATTCATCTATTATTAGAAACCTGTTTAGCAGAAGGGAATGATCAGTCTGCCACAGAACATGAGACAATTCATTTATTCCTTTATGCACTTAAAATGGCTTACAGCAATGGCTTGAATCGTGGCCAAGTAGATAAGGGCAAGTTCATCCAGACCCTGAGACAATGTTAGTCCAACAACCTGTGCAAAGATCAAAAAGAAAATGTAAAGATCCAGCCAAAGTAAAAGCTCTGTTATTTGCTATGGTTTCTTGTTGTAACAAGTTTTAAGGGCTAATTCTAAGCCTTACTTTGGTGAGCTGTACACATAATGTTATGTTAAACATGTTATTCCTGATCTGGGGAAGAACCACATACATTGTTCGTGCTCTTGCAAAGAAATAAAGAACAAACAGCATATTGTATGGGATTAGAGCCAGATTAACTCTGACAGGTTTATGTTGTGACTCAGATATTGCTCGTGAATGTATTTAATGTAATAATACGAAAATGCTATTACATAAAAATAACTTTTTAAAAGCATTTTTTCCCCTCCCTTCCAAGCACCCTAACACTGAAACACGATTAATAATTAAAGACTGTATCTTAACCTCCTTTACTCTGACATAAATCAATAGTGCACTGTAGTTACTATGGATTTGTATCAGCATAGGCAAGATCTGAAGGCAGCCATAACTACGGCAGTAAAAATTGTGGCTTTTACCAGTATTTGCACACAGCCATCACACCAAAGGAATTCTGATCCTGCTGTGGCATATAATTCTTTCATAAAATAATACAGGTATTATTAGGACCCAAAAATACATAAACCATCCATTTGTTTTTGATTCAAAACGTGTTGTAGTTCTTGCACCTACCCTTTTCCTAGCTCAGCCTCCAATACGGCAGGTTTTGGTGCTGGTGAGTCACTTGAGATGCTTACTTCAAGGACAATATGCCATTTTGAAGTACATGTTTTCATTAATCACCAGGTATTATCAAATTACACCCTTATGATATTCTCCTATGACAGTTCTGCACAGTAACATCCTGGCTTGTAACCTGCCCGATCGACCACCGTGAAGTTCAGTGAAGAGAAACATCCAACATCTCAAGAGGGGCTAAAAATCTCCCCAGCAGAGATTCTCTGGTGAACTTCCAAAGGCTGCTCTTTCTGGCCCCCGACTGCAATGCTCTGAAAATGTCTTTGCACAGAACACAGTATTTCAATCCCTTTCAGTTCCACAAGCAGCAGGTTTAAAACCACAACTCAGAACCAGATCAGGTTTACCTCTGAACAAAGATGTATGAAGCACCGCAGTTGCATTATTTCCCATCACAAGAGCATTTATGCCCATTTTTAACAATAAGGAGTTTTTCAGTGTCTGTTGAAATTTACTCCCCAACAACTCTAATACAGCACATTTACTGAATCTTTGTGTTTAAATCAAGCAATCCCTCCTCAGAATATTTCATTCCTTTTCCAGATAGACAAATTCATTGCAAAATGCAGGAGGCAGGTGAATTAACAACAGCAACGCTGCTAGTCAGTGCTCTGAAATGTGATTCCTAGCAAAGATACAGAGACACACGCAACACTCCTCATATTGTTAGAAAAGAAACGTGGCTGTAGTGATATCTCAGCTACAAGGATCTACTACTTCAGATTTTCTACTGGAACATTAGAAATGCAGCAAGAAACCCAAATCCTATGGGATAGTTTAAATAGCTAAAGGAGGAGTATGCGCCTTCCAAACTTTTTTTTCCCCTTTTCCCCCAGTATTGACCCTTTTGCAGAGACAAGCTGTTTCTTACCATGCCCTTTAGTGTCAGATCTGTTAAGGGAGATCTGTTACCATGGAAATCTGGCCAAACATGTAAATCAACAGTGAGGAAACCCACAGGCAAAGATTTCTTAATCAGATCCAGGTGACTGTTCAAGTATGTATATATACTGTGAGCACTGGAAGAAAAAACAAGTTGAAAAGAATGGGGGAGGTTATTCATCAAACACAAAGCATTGGTACCACCATCAAATGCAGAAACCCCATCAAAGAATGGCAAATCCCAGCTCTAAAACAAAACAGGGGAAAGGCAGAACCAACGGCTTGTGGAGCCCATGGCACTGCAGAGTGTGGGTGGTGGGGATGTCTATCTGCACATCCTTTCAACAGGCTATCCCAACTCCTTGGTTTCTCAGGATGAGGGGAGATAATGGCAGTTTGTGATCCTGAGCTTGTACATTGACTCCTACAGGTCACTAGATGAGCCAGAGGTGTTTGATATTTTGGGGGCTGGTGATGCTTGTCTTCAACAGATGCTGACACTGTGAAAGAGAAAGCTGAGAGAGAGGAATCAGGAGGATCCCAGATACGGAATGATGAAAATGAAAAATGAAAATCAAATTCCTTTGCAAATGTTTAGGAATTGCTCTGATTAATCAATAGCACCGGACTTAGAGCTTTCCTTTTTTAAACCATGATTATTTCAGTGTGTGTTATGATTAAAATGCAGCACTAAGGGTGGAGGACAGAAAGCAAGTGGCTGCTATTTTAGGGAGGAGCCGAACATGGGCCTAAATATGATTGTATCTAAGTGCAGATGCTACACCCAATGCCACAATATCCAACAGACTTTTTCCTCGACCAAAAGTAATTTTAGGATTAATGGTGAATTCTTCAGTGCCTTGGCTTGCAGTGACTCCAGTGACATTCCATGTAAAAAATGTTGCAATTATGCTCGGAATATTTTTCCAAACCCTCCTACTATCATAAACAGATTCCTATATATTTTTCAACTCCTTGGAAATCTCCAAGAGGGGCATTTCATTCTAGCCATGTGGGTCAATAAGAGCATCTAACCCTAATTACAATTGATTAGTCATTGTCTCATCCACTGTAGACCCAAACAGTGATATTCATTTAGCCTCTACATGTATATTCAATCATGCACTAATGAGATCCCTAAGGGAATTTGGCATATGCTTTACTAGTTTGACTTCTGACCTGCTAGCAGCTGTATATTTATACTTTGCATTCAAGCATTGAGCTGCATGTTTTTTCAATTATACCTTACCATGTGTACGCTATCAGAGGGTATCATTCAAAATGAAGTACACTTGGAAGACATTAAAATAACTAATTTACATCATTATTCACGTACTTTAAAATGTACTTTATGTGTCTTCCTGGACCTGAATTATGATAATTTTGTAGGTCACAATCATTTTTCCCTCCTTGCTGTAAAGTGGCCCTGTTTTCTACATCCCTAAGGACAGCACTATAAGCAGTGCATGCTGAGGACAAAGTCATTTTGTTTCCAGTCTAAGCCATGCCTTGACTATAGGGAGGAAAAGAAAGGAGAGCTTTGCTCAACCACAGACCCACCAGGCATCCCAGCTTCTATCTGATCGCCATCCTGCTTGATTACCCTCGCGAGGATTAGCCATTCGTGCAGCTCTGGCAGAACACAAGGGCTGTACAAAAGAGGCTGAAGTTCAGCCAAATAGGCTTAAGACTCACATAATCTTGGAATTACACTTTTTTTCACACCTTTTTTTCTGCCCTCTACATATAGATATGGGTTCAGAGCACTACGTTTGGACTGAGTGACTGGTAAAAGCCTTCAAACGCCCTCCAGTTCCAGTTTCTACTGTGTTTGTGTTATACATAATATTACACAATCAGCTCTCTGGAGCTTCTTCTATTCAGTCCTAGGAGAAGGTATCAGTAGCAGCTGGATCTGACTTGCAGAGTGGAGCAAAAGCTATTGCTATTAAACAGGTTCTGCGTGGAGAGTGGAGAATAAGAGATGAATGCAAGTTTGCCCAGGGTTTTGTTCGTATGTGGGACATAACTGCAGAAAGCAGCGAGAGGTTGGTACTGAATGTTTAGGAATTCTGGAAGATGCCAGCAGGTATCTTTCAGGAAAAAGCAGATCTAAAAATATTAGATTTCTAAATCTAAAAAAGGGCTCTAAAACATCTAGAGGTACAGAGAACAGCCAAATATGACTGTTATATTCTGCTTGAAAGACCCCAGATCTTTGTGATACCTTGTTGATCTGATACCGTGTGTCTAACCTCAATGCTTTATTCAGGAGACATCGCTTTAGATGGGAAATGACATCAAGAAGTGTAGGAAAGGAAATCCTGCTTTTGCTTCACAAAGGGCCAAAGGGCATATATTCTTTGCTGTCAAACAGACACTTTTTCCTCCAGATTAAAAACTGTGATTCTAGGAAACAGAAGGATTTAAGGTTTAAAGCAGAAATGATCATATTATTTCTTCATTTCCTACTTTAGCCTGGCTGTACAGGATGCAATATTTTAGTGCTGGCTGGGTGTCAGACCTACATAATATATAGATTGAAGAGCAAAAGTCCTTATACACGCAGCAATTTCTGCAATTGACTGGATTGCAAGGGAAAAGAACAAGTTTTGTTGGTCAAGTATACCAATTACTTAGACCAAATCCTAAATCTACAGCTGTCCAGAAAATCCACATGTAATTCAACCCTCTCCACTTCCAGTAAAAGAAGCGAAGAGAGAACATAGGAATAGCACTGGGAGGGCTGCACAAGGCTGGTCTTCAGCACAAGTGGTCAGTAGGAGCTGGTTTCTGGCAAGTCTTTCTAAGCTGCTCGTGCCCTGACAAGTTACCACAAACTACTGGACAGCGATAAATGCAGCTTGCAAACTCTTGCTTCTGGTGTAGGCAAAGGACCAGAAGCCTGTTCAGTGGAGCTTCTGAGATCAGCTGCTCAGCAGGCAGTTTGCCATTCCCAAACCTACTTCTTAGCAGCATTGGGAGCCTGGGAAAAAGGAAAGAAAGGTTTCGGAAGGCAGAAGTAGGTGACAGGCAGCGGCAAGGAAGAGGCACAGATCTGTGACCTCAGCCTTTAGCGATCCAGACATGCATGTGCTTTTTGTCACTACAAAAGCAGCTTAACTCTTCACAGTGTTGCACCTCGCATGGGATGTGAAGGTAATGCACAGCTGCACATGTAAGTATGGAATTCTCATTCTGTTTTCTTTTGATGACCATTTGCAATGGCTGAACAGAAGACAGAAATTCCTACACCCACACAGAGAATACACTAAATATAAAACCTGATTCTCTGAAATACTCTGCTGAGATTTCTAGGCAAATAATTTATCATCATCACCAACAATCCCCCAAAGCAGGACACAGTGTTCTTATTAAGTATATCACTTTATGTAAGTAAATACGTACTCCAAAGGCTGGGCTAACACTGTTCACTTGCATAGCTACCGCTGCTAGTCCCTGCGATGAGGCTGAAGCTTGTGCTCCATGTACAGAAAGAAATGAAGAAATATGGAGAAAAACTCCATTTAAATCATGAAGTTCCTGATTTTTGTGTGTTCAAATGAAGTTCTTTATAAATTTAATCACTATTAGTGAAGAACAGGAAGAAAGAAAATAGGGGAAACAAGGAAGAAAGTTGCTTACTAAATTTACAGCTATCCAAACATTTCATTAGGAGAGTAATAGCTGGAAAACATAAAAATATCAGTGAGCAAATTAACTTTATAAAATATTATCATCCTTTTTGTAAAATACTAGAAACCTTTTTATCAATTGTATCCTTTGCAGTTGTACTAACCACAGGAGAACTAAATCCAAAGTTATAACATCATACACTTGGGTAAGATGAAGTTCTGCTCCCCATATTCTGTATTTAGGGTCCTATTCCCATCACGATCCATGCTTTTTGCACTATGAGCTGTGGTCAGTTCAGTATTAGACCTAATACAGACAAGCTGGCTACTCTATACTGTTTTTCCAACACACAAAAGAAGTGGTTTATCCTGGCATTACAGACTAAACTAATTGTTTGTCTTCATATGTGGGCACTGGAAAAAAGGCCTGGAAGCCACAAGTTTGGAAAAAAAAACCCAAACAAAACAAGCCCCCAGATCAATCCTCATTCCAAACATACACAGATGTATTTATTTCCTGATTTCCTTTTTTAAAGAACAATAAAGAGAATTCTAGGAAGCATGAATCTTATTTCAGATTGAACGAAGTCCAATACATTTCTGGGAATGCTGGTCAAGCTGCTAACAAACAAATAAGGCATTGGGCACTACAAAGGAAGAAAGGGTCATCCAGAGAAACCAGGTAGCTTTATCCCCCCAGGAAGGACTGAAAATCACTGTATAACTGCATGCACTTGATACATCTATCAGGACTGACCCATGCCTTTTAGATCAGAGTGACAAACAGAAGATAAACTGCTGAGTTTGCCGGGTTTTTCTTTAGTCTAAGGAGGAAAAAGAAATTAAAAGAGAATCAGATTTTCACCCAATCTGCCAAGTGTTCAGCTAAGATCTCTCTGGGAGTGACATGAACCATCTTAAAGGAATCCAAGCCAAAAAAAGCTTGAGAAAATCCAGATCTGACAGAAGTGTCTGGACTGTCTTCGTCCACTTCTGAAGCAGACCAAACTAAATTCCACACCGTACAGCCTCCCGCTCAAGGAATCCTGGAATTACCTCCAATTCACTCCTACATCTCAAGTTTTGTCTGAAATTCATCCTGATTTTCTCTGTTCTATTTGAGCTGCCATGCAGGAGTTTTGCATACAATGGCTCTACCTTCCTTTAGATGTCTGCTCCAAAATATTGAATAATATATTCCTAATAAGCTATATCTCATCCTTGAAGCTTAACAGGGTCAAATTAAGACACATCATTAGCCTAAGGCCTACAGGTCTGCTGAACATACTTGCTATGATATCAAGAAATGGGCTGGATATAAAAGAAGTCAAAAAGCAGAAAGTTAATATCACCATTTAGATATGCCAAAAGTATCTGAAGGGAGTTTAAAGCTTTCATCTTTGAGCAATCCCCTGGCAAGCCTTTGTAAATACTTCCAACCCACTATCAGCCTGTTAATTCCCTTGTTTCAGAACAGGGATACAGCAGCGCAGTTCGGCACTGCTGGGAATACACTGTATCATCAATCTGTAAGGCAGGTAATGAGATAAAGGAATAAGAAGAGTGACCTGGCTGCAGCTTTTGCCTGTAATTCCGGGAAGGCGACATGGCCTCGGACCACATGATCTACCTGAAAAAGAGCAAAGCAACATTTTGGGGACGGTTACATCTTCAAGCTTTCGTCCCGGAAAAGGGTAATGCAGTGTCATTACTTTAAAAAGACAAGACAGCTTCTAAATTACTCAGGAGGTGTTAAGTCCTAGTGAAGCCAATGGCAGAACTCCCATTGACATTACTGGATGCAGGATTTGGCTTAAAAGCAGGAAGGAAAAACAATCAACTGTACACCAAAAATAGGCAGAATGCTAAGCATGCAGCTCCTTAGTTGGAAGAGCAAGCTTAAAGGATGACTTTTTTCCTGGCCAACACTACCTGAGAGCATGTTCTCCAGCCTCTCCCATTCTCTTGCATGCATACCCTCATTGGAATTCTACCAGGAACATCTTCTTGGCCCAAATCCCTACATCTTTCTATATCTATTATAATAAACCACCGTGTGGGTTGTCATCCTGACAGATGCTCACGTGTTCGTTGCAGGAAACAAAACGTATACCCTGACAAGCAATTGTTGCTATAAAAAAAAGATCAATATAGGCTCTGTCCTAGACTAAATTTATAAATCAGCTTGTCCTTTCACTTCAGAGTGGCCACCATTACTCACAAAACAAAGGAGCAGGTAGAATAACATGGGCTTTTAAGACAATAATTCAGCAAGTTTTGTGGCCTCTTGGTAATACCCCATCAGAAGTGACAGCAAAAGCTATGGAGGCTAAACTAGAGCTACTCAAGAGCACTGCGTATATTGGGCAATACCTATTGGCAGGAATCCACATGAGGTATTTAATTTTAACAGCATGAGCCTAGTCCTTAACCAGTGTAGGAAAACTTATAATGAAGCATAACATCTGAACACAGCAATAAAAATAATGCATGCCTGTTCTGTCTGAGATCTGCATCAAAGACACAAGTCAAATGTGCTCAGGTCTGAGCTTTGCACTCTTGCATAACTTCCGTAGAACATAGGAGCAGCTCATAAATTCAGAACTAGATCTATAAAGAAATATCATATATACACGTGTGCTATGGAAACACTTGCACAAAAACGTTACAGAAGTTAGGAAGTGAGATATCTAAATGCCCTTAATTCAAGACATGGCCACATGAGGATTGCATCTAGAACCCCTTTTCTGCTATTCTTTATTTCAGAGTCTGTAATGATGACATGCCACCCTTTGTGTCTGTTGTGCAGTACCTTCCTTCCTATAAGATTTGAAAATTCAGTGCAAAAGCCCATGTTACACTCAAACAAACCTGCTTTTTTTAAGCAAGTGTTCTTAATTCTTCATTTGGACTCCAACTGAACCAGTTTTCAAAGCCCAACAGACTTTTTTCACAGCTGTATCAATAGAAAAATTAATTAGAGATTTGGAAAAGGAAGTGTATCGGGTTTACGTTTAACAAGTTCAACTGACTCTTCGAATTTCATGAGAAGAATTCACCTTTGGGCAAAGATCAAGCAAAGAAAAGAATCCCAAAACATGTCCTTTTTGTTCTTGTTTTCAGAAAACCTGAAGTATGAGAAAGCAGGATCCTAAAGACAGCTTTACAATTACAAAGATACTGAATGCAATCTATCCTCCACGCATTGCACATACTCTGCTTCTCCTTACAGCTCCCTATGTGTCTTCTGTACATACAACCCCCAGAAAACCACATGAGATATTGTAAGAATGTTTTAACAGGACAGCTTCCCTAATACACCGAGCAGGACTCAGAGCTCACTTGCTATGAGTCCTAACAAGACCATACATTTTTTTTCCAGCAGTTTCTTTAATGACTCAGGAATGTCTTTATTCTCTGCTACTAGAATGGAAAGGATTTTTTAAATCACCTTTCTGAAAGGTCCTAACTCTCATCGGTATGTTTTAAGTGTGGAATCACCCTGAGCCAGCCAAGAAAAAATGCTGATTTACTGTATCCTCTCTAGAGCTTTGTTAAGTGTCTCTACCTGCTTTGGATTAAGCACAAAGGGACTTCTCCTCTCAAAACGTGTTCTTACAAAGAAGGGCACAAGATTTGCCATTTTCCTTTTAGAGCAGTGGTGTCATAAGCAGCGATTTCATTCTAACTCCTGGTTGTAGTGGTTATCTATATAACAAGACACTTGGGTTCTAGCCCCATCTCAACCTGAAACATGTAAAGCACACACATCCCACTTGCTGCAAGAGCGGTTTAACCATTTAGCTAAGGATGAGTTGGAGATGGGATGGGAATTGGAGGTTGCAGGAGAGGAAGAGGGATGACTCTCCCATTGAAGCTCTGACACTGTACAGACAGGAATGCCAGATTCACGTGGCCAAGGAGAGAACACAGGAGGGAACACCAATTCACAGCACTTAGGGTGTGTTGGGGCTTCCCAATCCAGGATTATTTCTGTTTCTCATTCAGTGACTGTTCCGTATGGAATGTATAAATGCAGTGATGGCCCAATCTACTACTTCCTGGACATGTACTGGATCACAAGGCTTTTCAAAAGGTGGGTGATGCTAGGTGTGAGTAAGACGGCAATTACACCAGCAATCTGTGAAAGACCCAACCCAGCTGTGTGTTTGGTGAGCTTACAGGGGACACCCGCAGCACTGCGCCCACCTCCTGGAGTTTCTCAAGAGGACCCTGGCAGCTCACCCCTAAGGGCAGTCAGTATTTCTGCAGACTGAGCACACACCAGGAGCTTGAGAAGTTTCCAGGGTTAAGCAGTCACGAAGGTCCTGCTGACAGTTTTGGACTCAAGCCTGAATGCTGCTCTATACATGTAGCTTTTCTTTCCTTTTGAAATCTGTGGTTTAGTTCTGACTGACTCCCTGTAAATGAGAAAATTCACTTTTAGAGAATCTAGTCCAGTTTTTATTGATAAATTAAATTAACCTAACATAGTTAGACACTTTGTACCCAAGGAAAGAATTGAAGTGACAATATATGCAGTATCTAGGCAGGGTAACACACTAATATATTACTACTGTGTCCATACAACATGCCTCTCATTTATTCTCATCAATGGGCAAATTGTTCTATATAACACAACAGGTATAATTTTCTTTATCTCAAAGTCTATCTCAACCTCCTGCTGAAGAATGAATGCTTATTTGCCTGAAAGTAATCACAATAATCATCACCATCATCATAAAAAGACATGCCCTTAGTGCTCTGCCCCATATATAATCCCCTATCAGTTTGTGAGAGAGATAACAATCAACTAATTGTTTATTGCTTTCAGCAGCATGTTATTTCCTGTAATCTTACAAAGGTTTTTCAGGCAGAGATCTGCCTGAATTGACTGGGAAACTATCCTGAATGACAGCAGTTACACAAGACCTCCCATCTTGGAGTCTGTTTGCCTCTCCAAACACTTACCAGCTTGCCTGTAGCACTTTGACCTCCCTCATTCAACCACAGTCCAGGTACCATTGCAGAGAAATAAGGTCCCCAGACACCAGGCACAAAAATGGGTGTTTCACTGACCTGGAAAAGGAAGAGAAAGCTCAAGTGAATCAAACTACTTGTCAAATAGGTACTTCACAACTGATGTTTGGCAGCTATCAGGGTCCAATACTGAAAAAGATTCCTGCTCCTCCTCCACTGGAGTTACCAACATGACTGGAGATCTATAGGTAGATAATCAAAAGAGTATGTGGAGAAATATGTCCCTATTTGCACCATATTTAGGTACGACACAGCTGCAGGTACTGATTGCACAGCTTCCCCCCCTCACTTCCATTTACAGAACAGGTGGGTCTGGTCATGCAGAAAGTAAGAAATACCAGGAACAGGAGCAATATTTTACAGGGAGAGATTCTGCAGAAAAACACCTAAAATGAACAGTTGGATACAACACTCTGCTTGACTGCCACTAGGAAATACAGCCAAAGTAATCAGCAACTGGTGTTAACAGAGCACTCATCCTGTATGTTTTCAGAGTTAAGAAGCAACAGGGGATCCTGCAGACAGAGGACAGCGAGGTTCCCATGATCCACCATCGACTCCTGAGGCTTGTAGTGAAACCCAAGCTCCAGTGCTCACCTGGCACCACCGGGAGGGTTAGGTGCCTCAGGTGCAAACCTGGCCGTGTGAAAGGGGATTTGCTTGTGTTAGCCATGAGGAACCATCTGCCTGGATAAACATTAGATTCTGCCCTTACTTAGGCTTAGCTTTACGCAAACCACTCCTTCCTTTGAATCTTTCCACCAAGGCAGATATATCTAAGCCCTATCTTCCAGAAGCTGAACAGGACTGTACTGTACCATTTGAATCAAATATACCACCCACATAGACAGTGATATCCTGCTCCTGTGCAATATTCTAGTGGTCAGACCACTCAGGATGTGGGAGACACTGGTTCATTTCCTTTCTCTGCTTCAGAAGATGCAAATTACCAGTTTATAAGGGTGGAAGGCATTTTCCTTCCTCTTATAAAGCTGTTCCACTTTCCATAGACTAGAAAGGCTTTCTAGATGTTCTTTCTGGTTCAGAAAGGAAGCCTAAGGAGGTGTGCTATCTAGTCTACCAAGGAAGGTGCAGCACACGAGAGAACAGGACAGTGGAACCTGGGTCCTAGCACTTGCTACAAAGACTGAACGCAAGTTATCCATCCCCTGGCAGGCTACCTGCTATTCTTGGAAGCAAGACTCATGTTTTCTCTTCCAGGACCAACAGAGGTATATACATTTGAAGTACACACAGGCATTGCACTGGGAAAAGAGAACAGCAATGCAGTCCTACATTGCCACATGAAGCAGGAATGCACTTCCCTCCAGTCCATGTTAATGGGATGGCTAAATCTGCAACTGCTGTTCTCTAGAAGGTGGGAAGTACTCCAAGAGGAGGAAGTGAGAGAATCCACTAACAAAGTAAGTCTGTATGTTTGCAATACTGGAACGGCAAAAAAGAGGTTTTAGTCAATGGGACAATGTTATTATATATTTAAACCTTGCTCTTCATTAGCAAAATTCTAGATCCATTGAAGGATGCTTAAGGTTTGCTATTGATTTCTCTAAGGCCCGGACTTCACATCAAAATAGTCTGAGGAGGAATAATTAAAAATTTAGGCCTGTTCATGTTAAACTCAATGCACATTCTCCCTAGATTTAAACAGCCCAAGCTCTAAAGACAGTTTTTTGCTAGCAACTAGGAAATATACTCCAAGATGCAGTTTACTGGCGTTTGTGCATCACACATGTTTAGTAAATACAGCAGCAGGGAGGGTGCTGCACAAACAATAGTCTGCTCAAGCCATAAACTGACACGACAGCTGATCCTTGTCATGAAGTCAAGTAGGAAAGCAAAACACCACAAACTCGTTTCTCAAAATACACCACTACAGTGTCAAACAATCCCCATTTCTCTTAGGAACACATCTAATAAATACAAGAGTCTTGCTCAGTTCTCCTCTATCAGCTCTAACGCGCTGACTTACTCTCACTAAAGATGCATGCGTGCACATGTGCCTGTGTGTCTGCGTAAGATCGTGGCTGACTAAACCCATTAAAGAGCAAGAATAGCTGCGCTGAATTTAAAAAGGCATTTATGACTCCAAGTGGACGAAGCTACGTCAAAAACATTGCAAAGACATTTGGTTTTGTTTTGTTTTCTCTTAAAACTACAAATTATTACAGCTTTGAGTTTTCAACACCTCTATGGGGCAAGCTTTCTTTTACAATTTCAATAACAAAATGAAGTGCAACAGAAAGCAAATCCTAAAATAACCTGAGTTTTAGACCAATTCCACATTGCTGACCTTGCAAAGGACACAGAATACGGTCAAAATTCCCAGTGAATATCTGCTCCCAACTAGTGATGGAAGCGTGTTGAGAACCCAGATGTCCCGTCTCATTCCCATTCCACCGCTGTGGACACACCATGTGTCTCTACAGGTGGGAAGGAATACTTAGGACAGAAAGGACCTGGGTTTTTGAAGTCCCATCTCAAAGTATTTTTGATGCAGCAAACTTTGCAGTAGCCTCCTGTGTCTTCTGAAGGAAGAATCTAGGTACACCAGATGTATCAAGCTTAAAATCTAACATTGTATAGTCTGAAGAAACCAAATAGTCTAAGGATCTTAAAGGCACAAGGAGGCTTTGTGAAATCAGGGGAAGTTCTAGACCTCAAGAACTGTATTTTAAAACAAACACAAAAAAACCCTTTCTTCTATCATTAGTCCACAATTTACCAAATTGTTCTATAGATCTGACAGCACCAAAAGGATTAGATGGCTTAAAAGACCAAACCTCTCCCCAGAGCCAGTACTTCTGGCCTAGTATTTTGGACACCCACAGGAATGTACCAGGACTGAATATTTCTGAGCTGCCTCTTCTCAAATTACACTGAGCGTTTCCTATGATCTTACTAGTGAACCATCATTTGTACACAACCCAGCAAACTTTCAACACAGAAACAGAGCAAACGAGGGAGTTGCATATTGCCACACTGACGAATACAGTCAGTGGGGTACTAGGTTATCATGTGTTTTTCTGTCGTGGAAACTTTCAGCTGGAATAAGGAACATTTGCTGTAACACTGGGCTTTAGTGATACCGCATACGGCATCATCCTCCTTCACTTAGAGAGTTTAAGTCACGTTTTTCAGACTCTGGGTTTTGATACGCATGGAAAGTGAGAAAATTAGGAAATAACATACTCCCCAAAACAGACACACAAGCTCTGAGAAGCAACAGCATGAACATTCTTCCATAGATACCTGCATAAGAAATAGCAAATTGTTTCCATTTCCCCTCCTTGAAATATTTGGATGATGCCTCAGTCTTTCAAGCCATGCAGGAGCTGGCATCGGTATTTTCACATGAAAAAGTCCAACTTGTGTTTGAGTACACATACCACCCCATCCCACTAAAACACAACACTAGACATAAGCGTAAGGCTGGAGAAAGAGTGCAAAGTTTGCTGCAGAACCCAGAAGACAAGCACGATTTGCCAGACTTAGAGCTCATTTTGTTGCACTGATACCAGGTTGTTTTCATGGCTTTCCATTGCCTTCAGACATTCTTATGATGATATAGGAGGATCACTGTGTTGTCATTACTTTTTTTCCCTTTAATGAGCTTAAGAAAATCCTTAATCTTTTTCATAGAAAAACAACATCTGGTTTAGATTTATGGGCAATCGATTCTTATTTTTAAAGCAAACAAGAGATGTCATCCTTCTTTGAAAGTTAAAATCCAAATTCAAAGGGAGCCTCCGATATTCTGCCTTCTATTTAACTTAAATTCATCCCGTGACACAATCCTATTGTGAGACATATTAATGTTTATTTTCTTTTACATACAGTGAAACACTGAGAGGATATCCTCTGCTGGACGTTAGAGTGATCTCTGCGCACCAGTTATTGCATCAGGAGTTTGAAAAGGGGCGATGAGAAGAATCTGAGCCTATTCACTCACTCAGTCATAAGCAGTGTCTATAAATTTTTCAGTTGAATGTATTCACAGGAGCCTATTGCCATGTGATGATTGATAGTTACTTACAAAAGTATTACACTCAGACAAGCAATTCCGCCTCATAATTATTCTGTGTGGAGGGGGAAGATTCCTTTTGTGCAGGAAAATGTCACCTTTCCATGTCTCCCCAGCACACACAGTCCTACTTGCTGAGCCCGTCATTTCAGACGAGCATTAAGCACTCCCAAGATTCCTGCTCATTTAAAGGGAGAAAGAGTTCAACACCTTGTGAAAGGGAGAGGAAGGAGAAAAAAGTTCTGCCTGGGAGGATTTAACTTCAGTGTGTGCTTTATAAAAGATCATACTAATATGTAAGATATGTAAACATTATAGAGCAATCAGAAACAAATGAAATGATGAATTTGGTTTAACAATATTCAGCTGTGGTGCAACTGCCAGAAGGCACTTTGTGTTATGAATAGATCATTTGGATGAGTTACAGACCAGATTTCAACCCTGACGTGTGCTAGGAAAATCAATGTCAAATTATCTAAAATCAGAAGGTATCAGCAGTCCATCTGGCAGCCCACAGAAATGAAAAAACATCTTCAAAATATATAATGCTACGTAGAACTAAGCTAAAGTATGAAAGGACCTGCTTAAATGGCACTAATATGTGAGATCTGTCATGTATTTCATTTAGTCTAGTCCTTCCCGCTTGCCTTTCCCTCTAAAACAAAAACATGGAAAAAAATTAACCTCTCTTGTAAAAGGCTACGTGGAAAAAAGCACTACTTACCACTCAGAGGTTAACTTACAGCTCATGTGAGTGAATCAGAGGAGCCAGTGCCTTTAATCGCAACTAAGTTCAGTTTTAAGGCCTGTCATTTGGTACAAGGAGAGGAACAGAACACAGAGGAGCATCACGTAGGCATTCTGCCATCCTATCAGATGAGCAAGTTGCAATGCAAGATTTATTTTACTTAGCTTTGTTTTGCTAAACTAGCCATAAGGCACATGCTTGTGTTTCCTCCTCAGGTTTATGTAAATGTTACAGCAACCAGAGACAAGA